TTCGCCCAAGATGCAGAATGTGGTGCAAGCTTGTAAGGCATGAGGAAAACATTATTATACAGCAAAAATGTTTATACAAAAATGCTGTGCAAGTTCTCTAGTCATTACCTGTGACTGAATGAAGACTTTTAAACAGCCGTCCATGACCCTGCTAACCAGCTCATTCACAATCGCCCCTACTTTCTCATTTGCTTCCTCTTGGTTCAACATGTTCATCCAATGGCACCGTAACAACCGACGACGAACCATTTCCTCTGGCTCCTGGGAAGGAGGTGGGGAAACTCTGGTAGTTGTCATACTTTTATCCTTGTTAGCTTGAGACTTAGCTGTAGATTGGGGCATATTTGCTCAAAGGCTAACAAACAATTGAGAGGAAAAAAGAACACAAAACATGGTTGGAAAAAGTATTTTTATACTAATATCTGTTAGTTTTTTTCATGATGGTTCATTCTGTTTCAATTTCATTTGTACAACTGGGTTTGTTTTCCTTCCTATGGCATAAAACTCCCCATTACATTAAATGTTTTTTCTTTTGATTTAGTAAAATATATAAGGTCTCATTAGATTAATTAATTATATATTGCCCATTCCGGTCAGAAAATTAAACCACACTCTGGTTTATGTAAAATTAAGTTTGGCAATCTTATGCTAAAATAGAAAATGAAGTTCCTCAAAAATATTTTCATTCCCCCACTTTTTTAGGAATTGTTTTAACTTCATCAACTTTCATCAAATGTCGTATTTATGAGTTGAAGGATTCTTGAATATCTTTACAAATTACAAGGACGGGGGATTTCAGAAGAAGACAGTAATGTCAGATGCCAACTGCTGTCAAACAGAATACCTGGAATCAATGAAGAGGCCATGCTGCAATATTATTGTTGCCAACTGTCTTAAAAAATGGGGAATCACATCTTCATCTAAAAAGATAGTTGGTTTTGAGTAGAAGCAGAATATAACAGCCTGAAAAACATTTTAGACTAGTACTAAGTACTCACACATTTGCCAGTAGAAGGCAATGTCATCTGACTTTGATCTGCACAAAGCTCAAAAGAAATGGATCAAAGACAAATTGGATTAAACTACCAGCAATGTGATGGATGGAATTGTGACCTTGATAAAAAACAAAAACAAAGTTTTGCTATATTATATCTAGGAGACAGATGTAGATGAGTTGTTTTTGCAGACTATATGTGTCACAGGGAATAATGTGGAGCTAAAGCATCATCCAGAAGACACTGAGTCATGGCTACTGTCAAGAAACAGTAGACTAAGCAGTGTTGACCATGCAGACTGGTGCCTCTTCTGGTTCTTCTCCTTCATC